TATCTAGTTAGTCCAATGGTATTGATCTAAGTATTGTAATACTTCAGTACAAAGGGATTTTATCCTTTTGATCTTGCTGTATTTTCACATTATTGTGCTGCATGCATTCAGCTCATAAAACTGTGTTATTTATAATACAGTTTTGAGGCTTTTTTGTAGTCAAGGAATCTGGGGCTTTGTTTTCATTCCTCATTTTATACCAGTGATAGTAGGTTCAAGGGCAACTGTTTATATTTCAAAAGCAATCTGAATGAAATAATAACTGATGGGAGTGTTCCTCCTAAGAACCTGTTTGTGCCAAATATTGTCATCACAGCTGATTGTGAACTGCCTAGATTTCAAGAGCCAGGTTAACTGTTCTAGCAAAGGTAAAGAAACAAATAAGAGGCTACATAAAAGAGAGAGCCATGAATATTAATGACTCGAAATATGCTCAGGCAGCGGAAGAAAAAAATGATAAATGATAGTTGATACTGGAAAAAAGGTTACTTGCTAAAATATTTGAAGGTCAATGGAAAGATATAGTTAATGCAAGGAAATCTTTATTAAAAACAGAATATCTATTTTTAGTGGCATGTGAAAATGCTAAATGCTATATCAGAATATTTAGATACTTCTTTTCAGTTTGCTTCTAAGGCATTTTATTTATGAAACTTAGAATCTCTCATCCTGTTAACAGGAATCATTGACAGTAGTCAATGTCTTGATCTTAGCTTTGTGATTATATACCGTGTTTCCCTGAAATAAGACCCACCCCGAATATAAGCCTCAGCCTGATTTTTTTGGGGTGGGCCTAATATAAGCCCTACCCCAAAAATAAGTCTGAGGGGTGGGCATGGCCAACACAAGTGGTGGCGAGTGCGCAGGGGCCATCTGTGTCTGGCAGCAGTTGCAGCCCACTGGCCCCTTAGCAAAGAGCAGGAAAGTCCATGCACAGAAGTAGAGGCAGGAGGAATTATTTGTACGCCTATGGGGTGCTTTGCAATGAAGTGATTCGGTCAGTTCCAAAGCACCCTATAGGTGCCCAAACACTTTCCCCCTGAACGGAGATCTGATGGAGACTGGCAGCTTTGTCTCTTGCAAATGGGACGTTTGGAGACAGAGCTAATCACTCCATTTCAAAACGCCCCCTTCGCAAAGAGACGGAGCTTCCAGTCTCTGTGTGATCTCCATCCCAGGCAACAGCAGAGCACTCTGTCCCAAGGAGAGATTCTGCTGTTGCTGCTGCTGCTGGGCTGGCCTGGGCAGTGCCCTGCTGCTGTCTCCCAAGCTCCATCTTCACTTGCTGCTCAGGATTTTCATGTGCGTTAGCTGCTTGGGAAGCAGCAGCAGTGGCAGAGTGCTCCGTCCCAAGGGGGAGGATTCTGCTGTTGCTGCTGCTGCTTGGCTGGCCTGGGCCATGCCCTGCTGCTGCCTCCTAAGCTCCACCTTCACCTGCTGCCCAGGATTTTCATGCGCATCGGCTGGCTTGGGAGGCAGTGGCAGGCACGGCCCAGCCCAGCCCAGCCCAGCCCAGCCCAGCCCAGCCCAGCCCAGCCCAGCCCAGCCCAGCAGCAGCAGCAGCACTAGCAGCAACACAACAGCAGAACCCCCCTGGGATGGTCCCACCAGCACCAGCTATTTAAACCTAAGCACCAAGACCTGAGCCTTGGACTGGTAAGGAGGCGGTGGCTCCATGCAGGGATGGTGGCTGCAATGGGGCAGGCCAGGTAACGAGTGAAGCGCTCCACTGCTGTTTCCCCCTCAGAGCTGCAACCTCGAAGCAGTCTTCTTTAAGCCCGCCGAGGCTCTGGTCTAGGCACTTAGAGTTAAATAGAGCATAGCTGGCACCGACAAGGCCATTTCCAGGGGATTCTGCTATTGCTTGTGGTGGCGGCAGCGCTGGCGCGACTTGCCACATGGCATTCTGCCACAAGCAGCTGAAGTAGAGTGGTGGCGTGACAGGTTTTGGGGCGTGGAAGGCCTGGCTGCTGCGGTCCTGCAGTAAGTGGGTGCGGTGCACATGGGACAGCTCTCCCCCACCTGCCTCGCCTTGTGGCAGTAATGGCATCGGGCTCCTAGTGGATGTTGCTGTCAGTGCCGCCGCCACGAGGCAAAGCAGGTGTCGAGAAAAAAATAAGACACCTCCTAAAAATAAGGCCTGGTGCCTCTTTTGGAGGCAAAACCAGTATAAGACCGGGTCTTATTTTCAGGGAAACAGTAATATTTTTTTTTCTGCCTTTAGCAACTAAACAGTGTGTGAATAAAAGATACTAGCAGGATTGTATTGTTGTTGTTTTTTGTGTTCTTTCGTAAGAATTCCAGGGTTCCCTTTTGTCAGCAACAAAGAATGAATATGATAGAGAGCTTCCAGATTGCCCTCCCATTCACAAGACAGATTATTTATATTTCCTTCTAAGAAGTCAATCTGATTAGGGGGAAAAGGTGGAAGAAAAGCTGGGAAAACATGAGATTACAAATGCAATACAAGTAGTCCTCGAGCTACAAATGTAATGGAGCCTGCCAGTTACATTCGAAATCCAAGGATTCGTAACTTGACCGCGATCACTCCCTCTTCACCCACGCATTCGCTAATCAAATGCATGGGTCGTTAAGTGCACATGAGGCATCTCAGGTTGGGGAACAGCAGGCAGCCTCGATGAGTCTCCTCCAAAGGCTTCCAGGCTCGCCCCAGAAAAGCATTTATATGCTTTTGGGACTGCAAAATCGTGTGGCTTAAAGCCTCCCATTGGCATGCAAACACTTTTTGTGCACAGACTGAAAGCTTCTGGGTGCCCTAATCTTGTGGGACTTCAGGCACCCACTTTTTGCAAAAGCAGATGGGTGCTTGAAGTCGCACTAGATCATGGCTCCCAGAAGCTTTTGGCCTTTGGCTGAAAAGTGCAACAAAAAGCCCCATAAAGCTTGAGGAGGCTTTTGTCAATGAAAAAGGAGGACCGAAGGGATGCATGCTCCCCTATGGGTCTCCATTTTCGTAGGCAAAGTGCTTGAAGAAGGCCTGGAGGGATGCCTGCACCTCTCCAGGCCTCTGTTCTCATCAGCAAAGGCCTCAAGCACTTTGCTGGTGACAATGGAGCCCCGGAGAGGTGTGCATGTCCCTCTGGGCCTCCATCCTCATCGGAAAGGCCTCAAGCTCTTTGCTAATGAAAACAGAGCCCTGAAGAGCCTTTTGCTGATGAGAATGGAGGCCCAGAAGGACGCACACAGCAGTTCTGGCCTCTGCTCTTGTTAGCAAAGTGCCTGAGGAAAAGGCTTTGCTGACATAAACGGAGTCCCAGATTGTATCCTTCCTGGCCTCTGTTCTCATTGGCAAAGGCTTTTTGCAAAGATGGCTTCGATGTTTCAGGCCTTCCTTCCATTTGCAAAGCCTTTTGTCACAGATCTCATCCAGGCCTCCATTTGCAGAGAACACAGGCCTAAAGTACCTTGAGATCAGGTGAGTTTAATGTGCAAAATCTCACGCTACTGATCTCGCATGATCTTGTGGTAAATTAGGTCTCCATTTTCTGCAAATGCACCAAAGGCCCGAAGCACTGAACAGGTCAAGAAACAGAAGGCTCCCTGGATCTTCACAAGGTGAATATCCATCAGCCTAGTGCCTGTAAAAACTCAGGGGGGGGGAGGGAATAGGTAGGCTGAATGTTGCAGAGCTCTGCGGGCATTGGTGTGAACAATTGCCGTGGTGCTGCAACATTCATAATTTTGTGACTGCATCATAAGTACTTGGGGGTTAGGTCGTAACTTTGAATGGTCATTAACTGAACTGTCATAACTCGGGGATTACCTGTATACTGTATCTCACCAGCTTTGGATATTTTTAATTGAAGAAATGGTACTACATAATAAGTCTTTTGAAGACACTCCCTTGATCACCTTTCATTTTAAATAGAGGATGATTTTGCAGCCTTCCTTCAGGTGTATGGGTATAGTAGCTGGGAATTCTGGATGTTCCAGCCTCATCACATACTCCAGATGAGGGTGAATATTAAGAAGTATTATAAACAGCCACTTTTGAATGAGATGGAAAGGGACAATTAATTATGAAATGGGAGCTACAATGACAAAGTCTATCCCTGTCCCTTATCTCTGAAGTAATTTTAAGACTATGAAGCCATATAATGGCATTTAGAAACTGCTTCTGTACTGTTTTCTCCCTTGTTGATTTCTGAGAAATGAGTTTCTGAGTTTGCTGCATGTTTTGTGTTACTTTTTGAAAGATTTATGACTCCAATAAAACTTTTGAGTCCATTATCAGAAGCTCTCTCCCCTTCTGTGTGTATGTGCACACACACGTGTGTGTATGTAACTGACAAAACATAACTGCCAATTTTGCCTAAGAAACTATATTCTTCAGGAATAGAAATAACGTCTGCTATATAAAAGGATATTTTGCTTTCAGATAACAATTATTGCAAGAGAAAATATAAGCATTAATCCAACCATATATAATGTATATTTAAACTATTAATTTTTAATAAAAATGTATACATTATCTTGAAGTGACTCTTGGCAATATGATGGAATTAATTTTTTATTGCTTTCTTTTAGGGTGGTTTTTTTACTTCAATATCTATCTTATATAACCCTGGAATTTTCTGGTATCCTCTCCAATATCAGTTGAATCTGATTTCTTTAGCTGTTTCAAAAATCAAGAAAATTTGACTAGGTGATAGAAGATAAGAATTGATGTCTGGAAGGGCTGTGCATATTCAGGTGATGTTCAATCTATTCATCTACTAAGTGTCTCCAAACAGATCTGTATTCTGTTCTATGCAGGGATGCTATAGATTTGGATTGAACAGAATAACATGGTATTGCTTATGTTGCTTAAATAAGTCTGTTTCAATCTTTCCATTTGACCTTATCAAATTCAGTTATTATGCTAAATAGAAGTAGACTGTTTTTTTTTATATATATCTTCATTACATGCCCTCCGGCAGTACTGCATTATCAAGAAATTGTACTTAAAAGTTTTACAAGTAAAGTTCAAACACAATGTATTATTATTGATTACAGCTTTTTATTCTATAATTGTACAAAACTACTGACCAGTGGTAGAATTTTAAATTTACAAATATACTTCTAAACAAATTTTTGAACTCAGCTATATAATTATGCATGAAACACACAGTACATTCAAAGGAATTAATTTCCTCCATCACACTGCATGCAGCATGATTTGCAAAGAAAACAGTGCGATAATAATGGTATTTTACATGATAGGCAAAAATAGGAAACTTACAGAAATAGGAGTTTCCTGCATACATACATATGAGTAAATGTTTTCATATTTTTTTCATTACATGTATTATATGCATTGGATTAAACACTGGTCCTTAACATACAACAGCCTATTTTCAATTTAAAAAATGTAAAGCAGTATAAAACTCCAGAGTGTTAAAATAAAAAGGGCAAGAGAATTAAAAATGCTAACAAGTTTATTCCAGAAACTAGGGGAAAAAAATGAAGATTTCAAGAAGGGTGGAAGGCTACTCATTTAAATAGCCAAGATTTACATCATTACACAAGTGGATACTTAATCTATACAAGGAAATATTAGAACAGGTCTTTCCCATTGAAACATTGTACATATTTTTATTTTAATCCTCAAGTCATTTTGCTCAGAAATCTACACTTTGTTAAAACAAAAAAAATGAAGCTGGTTGTCAGTGGTTAGAATTTTATTATGGCTATTTTTTAATATTAACAAACAACATTGCAGTTTCATTGTACAAGAATATGTACTCCAATATTGGGTCCTTCATAGTTATCAAAAGAAAAAAAACTGATGTATTTGTCTGTAATTATACATCCTTTTACATTTTCCCCAAATTAAAATTGAAAGTAACAGATACCACAACATTTCTGAATAGATATGGTACAACTTTGAAAATATACTTATATATACATACCTCATTGCTGTGCGAACTCCATCAAGGCACTGTTATAAATCAAGTATCTTATCACCCACTCTCAAAAGATGCCCAAAAAATTAGGAAAGAAACACAGTAATCACTTAGTTCACAGTTAGGTATCCTATATATATATAATAGCATTAAAAATTTAAAGAAGAAACATCCATCCAGACAAGAAATAACATCATGGTGAATAAAACAACTTTTACTCTCATCCCATTTCATTAATGTTGAGTTGGCAAGAAGATCTTCCTGAAGGCACAGGAGGGCAGTGAGCTGTAAAATCATTTGATATATTTTACAGAATAGTTGTCAAAAGAAACTTTTTCATGAAAAATGAGTATATTATACTCTTAAGCGATAACTAAAAGTTAAAAAGCAGCCCAGCGTAGGATACAAGAATTATATATTGCAAGTAGTGTACTTATTATTTTACACAACATATTTCATTGTAGTTATATTGATGATTACATGGCACATTGAAGGCTAATAGTGCATTTCTTTTAAACAAACACACAAACAAGTCAACACACAATTCTGATTATTTTTTACTTTTAAGTACTAAACGTCATAAGGAAACTATTGCCTTAGAGGTCTACAAACTTTCAGGTCACAGTTTCCTTATTAGTATATGCAGGAAAAAATCTAGATGAAAGAATGTAGAATCATATTCATAAAACTAAATATCATATAAACATTGTATTGACTGGGTTATAACCAGACATATTGTACAAAAAGTAGTTAGGCAACAGATTCCTCAGTTCACATCAGGAACTTACTTGAAGATGCAAAAAAAATGTTAAACTTTTAAGCTGTGCTTGACACAGGAGTGCTTTAGACTCCAGTAATACGAACAATGTAACTGAAAATGTAACTGATTTGGGAAATTAGAAGAGAAATGTTTAAAAGAAAGCATCTGAATAATAGTTCAGCTATAACTGAAGACATATTAGCACACAGAAATAGATGTAATATGGTATTTATATTAGGAGACACAATCAAAACAGTGGAAACCAAATAAATCCAACAGTTACAATCACTGAACATTTATGTACAGATAGGTAGTTGCTCCAAATGCATATAAATAAATATAAATCAGAACATATGTATTTGTACTTTATGCTATTCTTTTATAAAATCATACATACCAGTAACTGCATTTCAATCAATTTATAAAGCATCTGAATTATGGCTGCATTCAACCAGTTTACTCCAATTGTAATACATTTTTCATTCTAAACTGTAGCACTTTTAAAACATAATAATTTAAGGCAGGCAGGAAACTGTAACTGTGGGCTACAGCTACTTTTTTCATTCTGGTATTCTCAGAAGATGTTGGAAAAGTAATTCCCAGATGTTATAAAACTCCATTTTGAAGTATTCCAACATCTTTAAAACAGGTAGGTTTGGGATGGATGTACTAGAATCCTGAACTGACCAAATGTAAATTATGTATCTCTAAATGAAAACTTTATATTTGCTATAAATATATAAATCATGTAAGATATATGCTTCTTGCTGTTCTGTAAATTGACTATAAGTATTCAGTAAATACTATGTAAAATATAAAAAAATAGAATAGTGGGAGTAATGTAGTTGTAATTTGATCTATCTTTTTAAATTTAATGCAGCCCAATCCAGATTTGCTGAATTTACTTACAGAGACTCAGTAAAACAGCTCAATATTTTAGCATACAGAAAGTAAGGGTAAATGTGCTATATTCTGAACCATTTAAAGCCAAATATTTCTTAAACAGGAACTGAGTAGCAGATGAACTTTCCAGAGTCACTTATTCTTGGAACTAAAATGTTGCTACCCAAAATTTATTTTTACAGTATAAATATTCAGATGCAGTTATGTTCAAATTATGTAACGTGAAAGGACAAAACAAATATTAACATACTTTTAAAATACAGATAGGATCTTATATGTAAATCCTAAGAATTTTATGATTAACTTAAAATAGCTTTCTTTTTTACATTGTCTAAATAATGTAGTTTCTATTCCTCTGCATCTCATTATTAGCATCCCTAAAGTTAAATAAACAGTAACAGTCAATAAGAGTTTCAATTTGGGAAGAAAGGAATCAAAATACTGCTTGGCACAAAAGTTGTTTACTTCTCTGGACAGCTGAGATGTTTTTTCTCTTAAACTGACTAATACTATTAGCAAAGATCCACTGTTACAAACTAAGGGAAAAACTGTCATTAACTATCCCTGAAAATTGATGCAGTTAATGTGATGTTGATGATTAATAGCTCACATGTTCTTAATGACCACGAACAGCTGAGTAGTTTAATTTTTCTGCAGTTATCCCTTGGCATTATTTTCTTATTGAAGTAAGGTTGATTAAACTTAGGAAGAAAAGTCTTAGGTCAAAATTTACTTCTTTTGCTAGCATGTCCAATAGGGATTGATTATAACAAAACAGGGTCCTCAAATTCCAAACTGGTATATACTATACTGGTATTTATAATAGTTTATGACACCTTAGAACATGCAAGGCAGTTATCCAGCATTTGGAAGATGTGAAGAGGAAGTACTGGCACATAAGCATTGTCCATGTCATCTGGCTAGGATGGAATAATAAACTATTTTCCATATGAGTCCAATCTTTTGAGTCAAAGGTCTGAATCTTCTGGGCCCCTAGATAATATTGCCTTATTTGAAGCCAAACCAAGCTTTAAAGATGGTCCCATGAAGATAATAATCCTGTAATAATTCTATTTCATAGATATTCTTCTGTCCAGATATTCTATTTGAATAAGTAATTGATTATAAGTTGCAGAAGAACCATCAGCAAAATGAAGACATAGTGCTTGAATTGAAAGAAGTTATTATCTGGCGTTGGCAAACTTGAAGTCATTCGTGTTCTTAATGCTGTAATGTCCCTATTTAAAAAAACAATGAATTTAGTTAAATCCACAGATTGCCAATTCTTAAGTAAGCATTATAGACCCATCAAAAATTTGAAAAAATGATTGGACAGACAACTTTAATTTCATAACAATGATTTCTCAAGCAGGGTAATACACTAGAATTTTAAAATGCTTAGTTCTCAAGTTAATTGGACTTTGTAGTAATTTATCAATTTCTAAATTAAAATAATGGGGAAATTCTGGTACAACATTATGCTAGCAAGGTATAAGACATGCTATATAGTTGATATAGATATGTGTAAAGTAAAAGGAGGATGACTGGATAATGGAATACTGAAACAAAGTTATTGAAGCATTGCTCTTATACATTTCAAAAGAGTTTTGTTAAAAAAAAAACTCACATTGGACTGATTGCTTCTTTAGAAAGCTAGGCAGTCTCTTCCATCTTTTAATTGTAGCATTTATTACATTTAAAAAAACATATTCATTCAATTCTTCTCTCCATATATTCAATATTTTTTTTAACTACCTCTGAATTAATTTTTAACCTATGACTTACGTTCCTTGCAATAATTTATGTTTTACTATCATACATGTACTGTACAGTCACATATTTATTAAGTATCACATGAATAGATGATAGTGCATATTTTGACCCTCAATTCCAAGTGGCTTAATAGGGTTTGACATTAGAGGATCAAATTTTAAATATTTAAGTATATAAATATTAAATATACTAAAGGTAACATAGAAATAAATGTAGCCAATAAATAGCTATCGGCTTGTATTTCCTAAAAAATCCACAAATTCATTAAACCCTTGCCAATCAGCATCACAATTGTGAGAGTTATATGAATGGAGATTCACTTCACCTATCAGAAAATCCAATAAGCATTCTGGAAGGTTGCCTGGTCTGGATTCCAGAAATAACCCCCTATAATTCATATCACTACAAGTGTACTACATTCTGACTTGGCTCCCAGATCAGAAGCAAATTCAGATTTTAAAAAATAATCTTTTTTCCTATTAGTTAGCATGATAAATTTAAATATCTACCTTGTTTTTTTTCATTAGAGCATGATAACATTTAAAGTACACTAAACCATTTTGAAGGGATGAAATACTCCAAATGACAGAGAAGGAACTGAATATTGATTCACAGCGTATTGAATAAAGACTTGACAAGCATACCAATAGTTTCTCCAGGGGAATGTGTGTGTGAAAACAGTCAAGATAGCATAGCAGCAGTTATGATCAAACCCCTGCTCCATTCTACACATCATAACATACAAATTAAGAAGAGTTTAAATCAAGACCTCCAATTTTGACTATTTTCATCCCTGATGTGGGCACCATGGTAGTACAGTGTTTGATTGTTTAACAAGGATCTTTTTATCTATTAACAGGATTTTAGTGAAGTTCAGGTCATAATGTAGGTCACAGTATTGCAAGATTATGGGTAGTTATTGGAGAATTCACAAACTCTCTTACTGTTGTAATTATGTTTTATGTCTATTGTAAGTATATTTAAATAAACAAATTCATATTGTTCTTCGTTGGGTCAGTACAAGACATTTGGATCTACTTCTGAAGCTTACAAAGCACAATTTCTGGCAGAAAAAGTACTCATTATAAGCTCAGCTTCAGGATGACATGATGTCCCACAAAGCTTCTGAATGGTTTACTGAATCTGAAAGTTTAACTCTTACTAAAAAAAGGTATATGCACTTAGAAAAATATGTATCATTTTCTGTAAGTAGGCAAATGCTCACCTCATGTTCTGGGATTCCCATTTACTTATTAAAATAAATGGGAATCCCAGAATATCTCATGAGAAACCTATATACAGCCATGAAGGACAGAATATGGCAAAAGACAGAAAATCAGCAAATGATTAAGACAAGGCTGGCTAGTCCCCCTTTATTTATTCAACTATATGCTGACTATATATTGGGGGAAGCTGCATGGGAAGAAGATGTTTTAAAACTTGAGGAAGAGAAATCAATAACCTGTGTTATGCTGATAACATTTTTTTGATAGCAGAAAATGCAAAGAATCTGCAAGCTGTAGTAATGAAAGTCAAGGAACAGGATGAAAAAATGGATCTAATGTTAAATAAAATTGTAATAGCAACAGGTATAGCAACCAGTCTTGTAAATGACAGTAAAGATATTGAAGAATAGCTTCTCCTGTAGTACCAACAGTAAAGGAACCAGCAGCGAAAGCCTTGGAAAAAGCTGGGATGTATCTTTGCCTACAAAGATCAGAATAATATAGACAATGGTATTCTGTGATGCTTTATGGAAGCAAAATTTGACTTTTGAAGAAACAGAATTTTGAAATTTAGTGTTGGAAAATAATTCTGTGAATGGTTAGCCAAACAAACAAACAATGGATTATTAAACAAATCAATCTGTAATTCTCACTTGACGGACGAATGAGCAGGATTAAAATATTATACTTTGGACACCTTATGCAAAGGCCTAGCTATCTTAAGAAATCTATAATGCTAAGAAAAATGAAAGAAAAGAGAAGACAACTAGCAACATCATCAAGGGACTACTTTAAGGCATGATCAACTAAAAGGCTAGTTATGTTCCTTAGTGCTCTTAGGGAAAATCTTGGAAAAGTCTTTGCTTTCACAACCAAGATATTAGTATGTATGTCCCCATATATTTTTTTTTTATTAAAATGTTACCTTTTTTTTTTGCATTGATCTCTGATTTTCAGTAGTTTTGCATTTTGGAACTGAAAGGCATGATAGAAATGTTTTAAGCAGTAACTTAAAAAATTATCATATGAAAATGTGTACTTTAGTCAGATCATATACTGATTAAGAGAACATAACTGTAGCATTATCTCTCACCAGAGTTTATTTAGTTATCTAGACATTTAAAGGGTCAAGATTTGCTCTAAATCCCAGGTCAATAAATTGGCATCTTTAGGTTTTTATGTACTTAGTTATATTTCCCCCTTAATGCCCACAATTTTCTGCCCCATCTGATTTTATTTTACTTAAATAAAATGGAGGCTACCATGCAGCAAAGCAACAGTGTCAAGCGCAATCTATGTTTTCAATAATATCTCTAGAACCTAGAGATGTATGCTTTGAGTATAACATGAGAGATGAGTGTAGCCTAGTGCTTTTTGGATATGTGCCCAATACAAGTTATGCTGAAGTAGTATGGAGCATTATGGGAATTTAGAGAGTACGGAGCAACATTAATGGAGCAACATTAACAGTCCCGTCATGTTTACATTAGGAATGTGATTTTTAAAAAGTACTGCAAACATACCTCCGAATATCTTCCTGTGTTAACTTTATAGATTCAATGGCACTTTGCAGTTCAGCAAGATCTACTGTTTTCTTTCGGATTCTTGTGTTATGTTTGAGTTGTGCTTCAGAAGTAATTCAAAATTAGTCAAACAGGTAAAATATATAAACCATGTAGAAACCAAATTATTTTAGTTTACCAGATATGAATTAAAACTCAATTTTTTCTCATTTTAAAAATGATTTTACAAGCCAGGATAGACAGGAAGACAGACAGGTAGCCTTTATTGTCATTTTTTTTTAACTGAGGGCAAACTGGGACACATTAAAAATGAAATTGTTGCCTGCTCTCAAAAGTGTACACATACATAACACACATATAAACATGCTGCATACACACATATGTATACCTATACCCTTACATATAAATATTAATCACTGTCCATCTTGAATACATAGCAGGAAGAGGAAGCTTGAGAGTTCACAAGGTTGATACTGTATGGAACAAAACTATGGCTGAATCTGGATGTTCTGCTTCAGATACCACAGAGCCTCCTCCCAGATGTTAACAAGGAAAACAGGTGGTGAAGATGATATGTAGTGTCCAGGCAATCCTGTGGACCCTGCTCAAGCAACATTTATATGCTATGTCCTGGACAGAAGGGAGTGAACTGCAAATAATCTTTTCTGCCATCCTCACCACTCTCTGTACCACCTTTCTGTCTGAAGCAGTGATGCTTCCAAACCAGACTCTAATGCAATGTGACAGGATGCTCTCGATCATCCCTCTGTAGAAAGTGGTAAGGATAGGGGAAGGAAGATGTACTTTTCTCATGCAGAAAATGCAGATGCTGCTGTGCCCACTTCACCAGTGTCTCACTGTTGAGTGACCAAGCCAGCCTACTCCACAGGTGAATTATTAATACACAGAAGAGTGTGGCTATGCCTGCCCTTTCTGAAATCGACCATGATCTCTTGATATTGTTGATTTCTTCTTCTGTCAGACAATGATCTGACAGAAAATGATATTAAATACTAAATAAATTTAACATGGAAACCCCGTTTGATGTAGTAGTTTAAGGCACTGGGTTAGAAAACTGGACACTGAGGGTCTATTTCTGTCTTGGACAAGAAGCTAGCTGAGTGATTGCAGCCAGCCCATCTCTCTAAGCCCTAGGAAGGGGGCAACAGCAAATCACCCCGAAAAATCTTATCATGAAACCTGCAGGGTCTAAACCAGGCAACTGACAGGAATCAACAATGATTTGAAGCCACCAAAACAAAAAATCAAAAATAGTATCTTTAGTTTACAGATAATGAAATTTAGGCATGCTTGTACTTTATTCATCATAGTTTTAAAAAGAAGGGCAAAGCAAATCAATGTAGCATTTACCTTCACTTCCTGATGAGTCTGGATTATCAGGCTCTGGTGAGGAGAAGCCACATTCTTCTTTCTTAGACTTAGCAGACCGTTTTATTTTTGCAACAGTAACCTGTAATACACATTTTTATCAGTTTTACTGATCAGAAACAAAAAGGTAGTTATGCTTAGCAGCCTTCTGCTGGTGTACAAGAAATGAGTGGTAGAAATCTTTGTTTACCCTATCTTCTTGCAACCCCACTTCACTTGCCATACTGGAGGACAAAAGATGACACTGAGAGGAAAGATAATTGAGAAAAAAAACATTCTGGCCATTTCTTTCAGCATAAAGAATTTGATTATCTACTGGTTCCAGAAATGCAAATATGATTCCAATCCTATACAGCAAGGGTGGGCAGGACTTGCAAATCAGTTTTTAAAATTATTCATTTATAAATAATTAAGCCACCTTTCATAATTATAATGAATCCCAAAGTAGTATTATTTGTGGCCTTGGTTAATTTCAGTAGTGCAATTTACAACTGAAAATCAGCAACAAAACTTTCCTCTATTTTTAGTTGGGAAAAGGAAACTTTTGGTAGGGAATTATGATGGACTGAAAAAGCCGAGAGAAATAGCAGCTGAGAACTCTGGCTGGATGGTGGATTCTGGATGTCACAATCTCCCTGAATCAAAGGGAGATCCTAAAATAACCCATATGGACTCCAAACTGCAGCTCTTTCTGCGTAAAAACGTGTAGAAACAAAGTTTTTTGCAATTGGTTTAGGACAGCGGTTCTCAACCTGTGGGTCGGGACCCCATTTGGGGTCGAACGACCATTTCACGGGGTCACCAAACAACGCAGTCTGCCATTTTTTTCCCCTTTTCCTTAGATGTGCTACTCCCTTTTATTCTATTGGCTTTTGAAAGCCAATAGAATAGACTCTCTTGAATAGAGTCTAATTCTATTGGCTTTCAAAAGCCAATAGGAATTGTCCAGGCTGTCTCTGCCCTGCTGAGCCTGCCAAAAGCCCCATTCTGCAAATGGTGCTGCAAGTTGTCTGCAGCGAAGGCGAGCTGTCTGGAAGTTTCCACCCCTCCCTGCTGAACAACTACTAAAAATGTAAGTAAAGGAGGGCCAGGGGTGGGAGGTGGGAGGCCGGCAGGCGCAGGGAGGGTTGCTGGTGCGCGTGGGGCCCGGCGGATGCCTTACCTCCCTTGGGCTGGGCCAGCTGGTGGCCCAGCTGGTGGTCGGCCTGCTCTGTCTCTGCCGCTTGCCAGCTACACCTCGGCCGTCACAGGGGGCGGCACCATGCATGTGCGGTGCTCCCGGGCAGGGAAAGTCCTCGACTTATGACCTGTTGGCTAGTCCTCGACTTACGACCAGTTAGGTAGTCCTCGAACCACTGGTTTAGGATCTGAGCTGCTGGGAATCTTGGGATTCCATCCACAGTGACAATTGCAATATAGCCTATATCGGTGGTTCTCAACCGTTTTAATGCCGCGACCCCCAACCGGTGCAAATGACAGAAGCCTAATAAGATAGCAGGATGTTCTATTAACTGCTCCAAACAGAGACTGATGCCAGTAGGTGAAGATGTGGTTATCGATCCATTAAAGGAATATAAATACCATATTTGTATCAATCATTAAATATTTAAATACATTCATGCTGAAAGAAATGGCTCAATTAGTAACATTAGACATAAATTCAATAGAGGTTTCTTTAGATATGGCTAGATGAGAGTCATTAAAACTCAATCTTTGAGGAAAGATGAATATCTAAAATGAATATTTTTTCCAAATTAATTTATGTTCTGGGAGGAATTTACATGTTTACAATAAAAAAAATCAATATAAAACTGAATTATGAAAAACAAAGTAATTTTGAATTTGTGAATAAACCAAGGAAATTGTTGGTTTGTCAATTGTGAAGAGAAAGAGAAAAGAAAATGATATTGAAATTATAAATGGGAGACATTATATTAATGGATAATGTGGCTATTTTATTTTTTATCAATATTATTCTAATTTGCATAAAGGATATGAACATTCTTCTCCAAAAGACAGGAATTTTTAGATATAGTTTTATAAAATGGGTGAAATCAATATATACTTCATAGACAGCACAAATAATTCTTAATGGATATTTAGCCAAACTATGTCATATTTAGTCAAACTATGCCTATTGTCCTCCTTTTTCTTTACTTTAGCTCTTAAAATATGGTAGTGGTAAAGATTAAAGGGGTGACATAAATTAAGAGCTTTTGCAGATGATCTAGTGTTGGCTTGGAAAGCCCCTTTAAAGGGAACTGAATTATTAATGAATAAATTGAAGAATATGGTGAATTAGCAGGTTTTACGATTAATAAACTGAAGGAAGATATGTTTATCAAAAACATGGAAATATAAGATCAAACAGAACTGATGAATAAAACGTGTTTTAATATTGAAAAGAAGGTCAAATATTTGGGTATTACTATGACAAATATGAACTGTATATTATAAAACTATATGTTATAATTGTTATAAAATAATTATGTGAAGAATAGATTGATGTTAAAGAAGTTATGTTAAGGTTGGCAAAAATAGAATGGTCATTGCTGGGGAGAATTTTTGTGATTCAAATGAATGTTTTACCAAGAACTTTATTTTTGTTTCAGACAATAGCTGTTTTGATAACTGATACCTTGTTTAAGAAGAATATATTTAAGGAAAAAAACCACTAGTTAAATATAAGATATTACAAAATGCGAAGAAATTGGCAGGACTGTGTATATCTGATTTGAAATTATACTTTGCTGCTTGTTATTTAGCTTGGATGAAAAAGTGGGTATTGCTGAGAAATAAAAGGTTATTGGAGTTAAACGGATACAATTTGAGATTTGGGTGGCATGTATGTTTGTGGTACAATAAAGCTAAGGTAATAAAAGTCATTATTTTAGATGTGACACTGAGAATATTGAATAAATATGAATCTAGGTTGTGTCCGAAAACCACTTTGTTTCTTTCAGAACAAGAAACATTTTATAGAAGAGAAATATCAGTAAACATAAATGGTTGTCTTATCATGTTATAATAGAATTTTCTCAAGAGAAATGTAAAATAAAATCAAGAGAAAATATAAAAATGGAAGGGTATACTTGTCAATTATTTTCCTATCTACAATTATCTTCAAGGTTTAAAGTCGATTTTAGGGTTTTAAGAATGTAAGACAATGTTTGAAATAGAATTGTGTACAAATGTTGAATATGCAATTGCTAAAATAAACTTCTGTTGAAATTTGAGACAGAAAAAGTGAAAGAATGTATAAGGGCTAAAAACTTTGGTTATAATATAAAATGGATCAATGGGGAAATAAGTGTTTGAAAGGACTGAAGTTTGCTTAGTACTATAATCTTAAAGACAACCTGCATAAAAGGATGTGCTATTGGTATATGCCAGAGAAATTGTCTAGAATGTATAAAAATGCTTCAAATTTATGTTGAAAATGTAAAAATGAAAGAACATTTTATCGTATTTGGTGAATGTAAAAAAAGCTAGAAAATGTTGGATACAAATACATTCTCTAATTCAGAAGATTTTAAAGGTAAATGTACTATTGAAACCAGAGGCTTTTATTTTGGGACCAATAGATCAACAGGTGGAAAAAAGTCATGGAACTTTGCTTTTAGATATGGTAACTGCAATGCAATTAAATGCTCAAATGTGGAAAGATTCAATACCATCTACAATAAAATAATGGTTGATAAAGCCGATGGAACATGCAGATAAATATTTTTAGAGAAAAGACATCTATATTTATTGCTGATAGGAAACCCGTTTTAGACATTTTTCATGAAACAGAAAAAATGAACTTTTGATTTGTGATGATTATAAACAGTAGATATTAGAAAAATGAATTTTTATAACCACAGAGATGGTTATAAAGAGATGTGTATATGTGCAATGTGTAATCATACTTATATTTGCTACAAAGGAAATCAGAAGCTTCTATTTCTTTTGGTACTTTTTGTCTTTTTCCTTTTTTTCTCCTTTTTTGTTTCTTTACTTTGTATTAGTTTTATCTTCTTTAAAAAACTTTTAATAAAATATTATATTTTTAATTGGAAAACACACTAAAAGTCTTATGTAAGTTAATTGACAGATTCCTCCCTCCCACAATATCCCATCAAAATTAGAAAAAAATAAAGAAGAAAATCCTGGTTTTAACCCACACATTTGATATGGTCCTACCCATTTCAAGGCAATCTCCCATTTTCTTTGCGTTGTCACACACTATTCAGTATATGCTTTGTCTTCTCTCATAATCATGAACAGCAAACCCAGATCACCCAAATTAACACTATCCTAAAGGATATGCCGTTCAACTTTCTGTTTTAAAAGCTAAATATGAAATAAATAGATCCTACAGGATTTTTGATAAATCTATAATGCTTTAGAACAGGGCGTTTCAACCTTTTTACCGACTGTACCACTTTTAGGATATGGCAATATTCGAGTACCACCTAGCAAGATGTCAAAAACTTGATGACCAAAAAAAACAACAACAAAAAACCTGTTCAAAGTTGCAATTGCACTGAAATGACTTATGACCATTTTTCACACTTACGATCATTGCAGCACGCCCAGGGTCATGTGATTTATATTTGGATGCTTGGCAACTGATTCATATTTATGATGGTCACAGAAAAAAAATGTAGTAAGTACTGGTTGCTGGCTAAGGCAGCCTCCCCAAATGGCTCCATTCATAAGTAAAGGAATACTACAGGCAAAATCCATTCAGGAGAAAAATGCTTCAAAATCCCTTGCAGCAAAACTTGCAGCTAACTATAGCAGAGCAATAGAAGCTAATGGGAGACATCAGCCATCAGCCAAATAGAAATTGCCAAACACTCCTTAAGAACACAAAGCCCACATTGCACAAATTCCAGAACTTCAAAGTCACAAAAGCACGTAAGAATCCTTCCACTCTCCCGGTTTGTTGTTCAGCTGAAATGGCACTTCGCTTCTGCCGGAGCAGCAGCAGACAGAGGTTTGTTTCCTCTGGTCTATTTTTTCTTTTCTCTTAAAGCTATAGCCTCCCATCTTGAAAGCAAGCCCCGGGCTTTTCCTTCCAACACTCCCTCCCTCCTGCTCCTCCCTCTCTCCCTCCCTCCGTGCCTCACCTCCAGCAGATGCTGCCTTTCTTCATTCCTCATGGAGGGCGACCCCTCCCCCACTGCGTTTCTTGCATGTTTGTTGCTGCCAGCACAGATGGCTGCCACAGAAGTTGTAGATTGGCTCATGGCCGGCCTGCTTGATCTCCTCTCCTCTCCCCCATCCTCCTCCTTCTTTCCCTTCAGTGCAGCTACAGCTGAATCTGCCTCCTCCCAAGGCTGCATCTTTTTCTCTCTCTCCCGCCCAAACTGCCTCCTTTTATAAACTCTCCTGTCTCTGCCCCCTCTTCCTCCTTTCTCTTCCGGGTGAGCCGGAAGTAAGCCTGGGGCCGTTACCTCGCCCCAGCCACTCTGCAGCTCTGGAGGACTCTCTCACAGTAAGTCCTGCGCTGCCCTGGCTCATTCCCTCCCCCACTACACTTGGCTGGGCAGGGCTGTGTACCACCTGCCATGTGCTAATGTACCACAGGTGGTACGCGTATCACCAGTTGAAAAGCTTTGCTTCAGAATACAACTAGTGTCATATGGTTTCCTTAATCTGTTATATTCAAGGTGGACAACTTTTTGATTGAGTTCAGAGTCTTAGTCAGAGAAAAAAGCTATATAAGAAAAAAGTGGGCACAGCTAAAATGGTTATATCTAAATATCAGATTAAATTCTAAGTAACAAATTATTACTTTGTCATTTCCAACTGTCTAAAGTGTGAATGGTATATATATTTTACAAATATAAAGTGCAGAGCCCAGAAGGAAAAGTCTGTGAGAAAAATAAAAAGGCATAAGCTTTAAAATAACTGCTGCAAGCAGGCCAGAGGTTGTAGTCCTCATAATGATATACTTCACTTGTCAGAGAAGTAAAAGCAGAAAGAGGCTGTTTCAAGGGAATTCTCTTGTCCCTAGAGAAATCTCAACTTAATAATGTAGTAATAAAAATAAGGCCAAGAACATACCATTGGTGTCCGATGTCTCACTTTGGTTTGAATAATGCCATCTTTTTCAAACTGTATCATGTCATTCAGTGGATCCCATGGTCTTGTACTATACACAAAAAAATGTGAACATACTTTAGATAAAGTAATTAAACTTGGTTAAAGCCCTCTGTCTCAGATAGTGCTGTTAGCTTGATGGGATTTACAACATTTCGGATGGACTGGAGTTTTGCTCTTAGTGGCAAATCCCGGGGAGGGGGTGTCTGTTTTTATATAAATGACAGATGGTGTAATAATGCCAAGGTGGTTTCAAGTCTGTGCTCTCCAGATGTGGAGCTTCTAATCATCAAATGCAGACCCTTCTATCTGCCTAGGGAATTCTCTGTTACCATTATCACAGCTGTGTATATTCCCCGATGCAAAGAGAGAAGAGACTCTGAAGGTTCTCTGTCATACCATCAGTGACTTACAAACTACTCACCCAGAGGGTGCATTTATTGCAGTCGGAGATTTTAATCAAGTGGATTTGAAAGCTACCTTGCCACATTTCCATCAATATGTGGACTTTGCAACCAGAGGGGACAATACACTGGATCTTGCTTATTCCAACATCAAGAAGGCATTCAAAGCTATCCCCCACCCTCACCTGGGTCCCTCTGACCATCTCTCAGTGCTGCTTATTCCTGCATATAAACCTTTATTAGTCAGAGTGAAACCTACAGTAAAGCACGTGAGGGTTTGGACAGAAGGAGCGATAGAAGCATTACAAGACTGCTTTGAGTGCACAGATTGGGGCATGTTTAAGGAAGCACCTACTGATAACCAACATACAAATGTTGAGGAGTATGCCACCACGGTGTCTGCATATATCCAAAAGTGCATAGAAGATATCTGTGTCCTGAAAAGCATTGTTGTGAGGGTGAATGAAAAACCGTGGCTGACTTATGAGGTCCGCAAGATGTTGAAAGCACAGAATGTGGCTTTTAAATCTGGTGACATGCTGGCACTTAGAACAGCCAGAACAAATTTGAAAAGTGCCATAAAAAGTGCAAAGCAAGCCCGTTGCCAGAAAATTTAGAACTTTTTTCAGGACCCAATGAACACCAGGTGAATGTGGCAAGGAATCCAGGCCATTACAGATTACAAGGTGACTCCATCGAGATGCAAGGATGACACAGACTTCCTAAACAAACTGAATACATTTTTTGGTAGATTTGAGGCATCAAATAGCACTCCTGCTAGGAAAGCTGTGCTCCATCCTGATGAGCAAGTGCTAAGCTTTGATGTCACCTCTGTCCGGAAAACACTGCAGAAAGTTAACATTTGGAAAGCAGCAGGCCCAGATAACATCCCTGGACATGTCCTTAGGGAATGCTCAGATGAGCTAGCTTGTATTCTCACTGATATTTTCAATCTCTCATTGCAGCAGGCAGTGGTCCCATCGTGTTTTAAGACAGCCATCATCTTGCCAGTGCCAAAAAAGTCCACAATTACAGGCCTCAATGATCTGGTTGCACTGACATCCACCATTTTGAAATGCTTTGAGAAGTTGATAAAGGACATTATTATATCTAGCCTCCCGCCAGCATTTGACCTGCTTCAGTTTGCCTACCGACCAAATTGCTCTATGGAGGATGCTATTTCTTCCATTCTCCATCTGAGCTTGAAGCACTTAGAAGAAAGAAATACTCATGTGCGTTTGTTGTTTGTCGACTTCAGTTCAACATTTAACACAATCATTCCCCAGCATCTAGTAGACAAACTGGGCCTTTTAGGCTTAAACACTCCTTTGTGCAACTGGATTCTTGATTTTCTTACCAACAGGCCCCAATATGTGCAAGTTGGAGCAAATACCTCTAATACCATTTTCTTGAGCACAGGTTCTCCTCAGGGCTGTGTCCTAAGTCTGCTGCTGTTCACCCTGTTGACTCATGACTGTTGTGCTAGGTTTGCCACCAACCATATTGTGAAGTTTGCAGATGATACAACAGTCGTGGGCCTTATTCGTGATGACAATGTGGATGCTTACCGCAAGGAGGTTGAGGGGGTGGTGAACTGGTGTAAGGAAAACAGCCTAGTTTTAAATACTGGAAAAACCAAAGAGATCATTGTCAATTTCAGAAAAGGCAGGCACAGCCACACTTCTCTGTGCACTAAGGGTTCACCTGTGGAGATGGTTACCAACATCAAATTCCTGGATGTGCAGCTAACGAATAGGCTGGCTTGGTTGCTCAACAATAAGACACTGGTGAAGCAGCCACAGCAGCGCCTGCATTTTCTGCGTCGTATGAGAAAAGCACATCTTCCTTCTCCTATCCTTACCACTTTCTATAGGGGGACGATTGAGAGCATCCTGTCATACAGCATCACAGTCTGGTTTGGAAGCATCACTGCTTCAGACAGGAAGGCAGTGCAGAGAGTGGTGAGGATGGCCAAAAAGATCATTGGTAGTTCCCTCCCTCCCATCCAGGACAGCACAGAAGCGTTGCTTGAGCAGGATCCGTAAGGTTATCTGGGACACTACACATCCTCTTCACGACCTGTTTTTCCTGTTACCTTCTGGGAGGAGGCTTCGTGGTATCTGAAGCAGAACATCCAGATTCAGCCATAGTTTTATTCCATACAGCATTAACCTTGTGAACTCTCAAGCTTCCTTCTTCCATTATATATCCAAGATGGACAGCATTTAATATTTATTTGTTATGTATAGGTAGGGGTGTGGGTCTGTACATAAGTTGTATATAGTATGTTTAGGTGTATGTCATGTATGTGTTTCTCTTTGAAAGCGGGCAACTAAATTTTATTTTTGATGTGTGCCACTGTGCCCACAGTAACAAAAATGACAATAAAGGTTATCTTATCTTATCTTATCTTATCAGGATTAACATATCACACCCATTACTTTCAGCAAAACAATATTTATAATATTTTTAAAATGTATAGCATTAGCATCTTATACAGGTATCTGGCTGTTGCTACTTGTTGTTGGTCAGCCTGTAATAAACCTTCCCTCATCCATGAATTATGAATGAGACAGTCAATCTTATGTGCATTACTGAAGCACGTGCATGTATATATCTTCACAGAGGTGCACCCAGCTGGGTTCCATGTTTAGCACAAGCACAAACCCACAGCTGGGGCAAAGATTTAGCTATGTTATCTGAGAAGCTCTGATGTCTTCCACGGGGTGCTCTTCTGCAGATAACAAGTTGTGAGGTCTATTTGTGAAGTTGGGCTGTAGGGATCAGAGGAGATTGTAGCTAGAAATCTCCCTGCCTGAGCTGCTTGAATCTGTGGCAGTTACCAACCTCACCTCCCTGATGCAAAGAAATGTCCCTATTTGAACTGTTTGAACCTGTGGCACAGGTTGGTAACACATGGCCAGGTTGGCATTTATGGTACTTGAGAACATCAATCTACCTTTCATGCATGTGGAATGGAGAGCAGTTCAAGAATTCATGGCCACTATGATGAACATGGACCTGATACAAGTTATTTCTGGCCCAACTCAGTTTGAGGTCACACATTAGATCTACGCAATGATGACACAATCTGGAATTGGGGAATGTTACCATCAGTTATTATAACTGGCAAATTGGATCAGAGTGCAACAAAGACTCCAGAGTTCAAACCTGAGCTACATATATTCTCTTCGACTAGAACTGTGGAAATAGAAAAGTGCTACACATACAGTGATAAAATTTTCTTGAAGGAGTAACAGCTACTTCTCCCTAAACCACAGGCAAATTACACACTTAATTTATATTATATTAAGAAGAACCATTCTAATCACAATATAGAGCTATAGCTTGGCATTTTGATTCATGATACAGGTAAAATAAATATTACAGAAAAAATGTGACAGAAGATATATATGAGCCAAGTGGTAATGTATGTGTGTAATCAAATACATACATACACACACAAACACACATTTGGTAATATTTGCAGAAAAGGGAAAAAAGCTCTCCTCCTCCAAGACTTACTCTGCATATCTGTAATTCCATTCTCCTGTAAGTGGATCTGGCTCAAATAGTCTGCAGACCCACACTTCATCTAGTGCCTTCCTTTCCTTGGCAGCTTTCCTTTGAGCTTCTTCCAGAATATATTTTTCTTGAGTTGCTTCTATTTGGTCTTTATTATTTATAGCTCGAGTCACATGTTGCCAAAGTCTAACCGGTAAGAATAACAGCAATAAAAAGGTCAGATACTGGGGAGAAGAGCTTTGCTGAAAAATTTCTTTTGTTATATCGTTAAAATAAGAATCTAATACAATTATAATATTTCTCCATTAGCACCTTACTTTCCTGGAATTTTTTTTTTCAGTTAATACACATCAATACAATCCTAGGACAGATATACAAAGATATCAACAAAATTGATTGTACATCTAAACAAACACAAAAAGCCCCAAATTAAAAATAACAATTGAAGAATGCTATAAAAACTAATTAAACTTAAAATAAGGATTCTTTCTCCAAAGGAAAAGGTAGGCTATGGCTTCCAAACTTATCCTTTCTGCTTTACTCTTCAACCCAATAAACAGCATCTTAGGAGGCTAGAGGGAATAGAATGGAACAACACCTTAGTTCAAATATATCTACTAGCCATTTTTATGAGGGTGCCCATAAAGTGCTCTCAACTTTCTAAATGTGCCCGGGAAAAGCTTAAGAACTTTTGCATATTCAATCAGAAAAAAAGTTTTAGAATGAACTTACTTTTCTGATTCAAAGTCACCTTGTTCCTCAAACTTCACTGTGTATCTTCTTAATCTGTGCTGTCTGATCTCAGGTGTTGGATTCCAGAATGTCTCTGAAGCATCTGTTTTCTTATCCCTAATAATAACTTCACTGTCCTATAATGTTAACATATTAGATTACTTGAGTAGGCAAAGCATTTTTCGAAGTCAGGAAAAACAAGACTTCCTTCAGAAAGTCACTTTTCACAATTAAAAGATTTGTACTAGTTTGGCAAAAATAGTCGGGGACAGCTGAAAGTCATACTTGATATTCTATTTCCTTATTTTAGTTCCAATCATTTGAATTAAAGCAATGCATGTATTCATTCTCAGTAACATTTTGTGCTTTAATTATTTTTTTCCAGTGGAATTTTTGCATGTGAATCTCAATACATTTCTCAAATGTATTGGGCTACAAGGAAATATATGAATGACTGCATGTGAAATTACTATACATTTAACATATACTGTAGTTTAAGCATTGTAAAAATTGTATTTCAGTTAACTGTGTTCTATCAAATATAGTAATACTTTGCTAACAGAATGAGATCTGATTAGTAATTGGATGGAAGTACGCTAATGAATATCAGGGCTGTATAAATTTTTGACAAACTAATAGAAAAACATTTTTGTCTTATTGCAAAAACAACTGCATGAATTCAGATTGGAATTATAACATTCTGGAGTAATAATTCTGGACTGAAGTATTACCTAATTGAAACATTAAGAAAATCTGTTCCTTAACTGATATAGTGTAAATAACATAACATAATGCAACATAAATAAAAGCCCATCAGTCAGCTACTGCCTAGCAATTAATACTAATAATAATCAGAATGCTTTATCACTTCAAGATGAGTGGAATTAAAAAATTATTAGTGCTTCACCCATGTTCTTCTTATTATGTTTCCATATTAAAATGAGTTTTTTTCAGAATCTTCCATGTTCTTCAGAACATCCTTCTTATCGCATTGCTCATCCTCACATAGTGTATTTCTAGATTTCCCCTCTACTTTCATGTCTATTTTTCTTTCCAACTGAAATTTGGTTTAGTAAGAATCCAGGCATAAAAAAAAAATAGCGATTAATGTCAAAAATTATTTGTTTTGCTTTGGTCTTACAATAAAAACCATTTTAGCTGATTTGAAGGGTAGAATTATGTATTTCAAGAGAACAGGCTTGCCAATGGCAAGTCATGTCAAGTTTCCACTCTCTCCTGGGTTCACATTGTAATATTTAATGTAAGCCATCCAGAGTGCTGTAAAGCACTATGAAGCAGTATATAAGTCTAAGTGCTATTGTTATTTATTGTGTGTCCAATGTCAAACCATTATACTCAGTTTTATGTTTCTATATATGATATTATATTAGCCTTATTGCAAAGCAAGAACAAGAAAGCTAGGAAGCATTTCCATTTATTTATCCATATGGCAGACCTACAGTAAACATGCAAATTTGACTTTGGAAGTTTAGTGCTAGTCTGATCAGATTCCTGAAAAAACTATAGCAAAATAAAGAAAAGGTTGATGCATATGTCATAATCAATAACAATATATATCAAACAATTCAGATATAAAATACTGTATATATCAAAATACAATGCTACCTGAGTACTTGTCAGTAATTGATTCTGGGAGGCACAACAGTACTAAAAACAACGTATCAAACAAGCCACATATCTAATGTATCATCACCTTTGTTTTGGCTGGAAAGGGTAGTGAGTCACAAGGGAGCCAACAATGACAAGTTCTAGCTTATGCATCAAGTACCAAAAAGGAGTACTGAGACAAAAATTTCACGTCAAAATGCATCGATTACCAAATTCAACGTTTCAAAACATCAAGTACTAAGATACCATTGTGTACCGAACATTTAAAAAGCGAAACAAAGCCAAACTCGTTTTACTTACCCAATGGCCTTCTAGAGTGGCTAGAACTTCTTTTCCCAGTTTAATTTTCCCCATTATTTGATTAACATTTTCATTGTTCCCCAAAAATGGCTGAAAAAAGGTGAGATTTTTTTTTAAAAAAAGTTATATAATATTCACGGAACTTAAAATTAATAATTTCCCAATGTTCCTTTTATAAAAAGAACAAGCAAGCCGTCTTAATTACTGAACGTTTATAAACTACTGCATTGAAGCCACATAATATTAAAGTTGAAAGAACATCATTTTATTCAATTACTCATTTCGTCACAGGTACTCCACAAGTTTGTGGGACAATCCAGAGAGGCCATGAAAGGAGGAATTGGTGAAAACATCGTTTCTGGAAATGGTCTGGTAGTTTTCTGGAAATCAGTTCTTTGAATCAGATCAGTGTTATCAGAATGTCCAGGGGTCCTCCAAAGGGAGGTTTTGGACTATCTGTAGTACTGCCAACATTGTAAAAAGAAATTATGACAACAAATAATGTATTTCATTTGCCTCATGGAGTTAGTGCAGACCATAATGAGCTGCTTAGCTGCAGAGTACTATATAAAAATAACATGATTATATGAATTAGTACTAATATTTTTATTGATTTATTTTATATTATTTTAATCAGCAAAATCTTAGGTTATTACTCTACTTCAAAACTTGATAGTATTCATTTTATATAGTAAGGCAAAGCACAAAGAGTTTAAAGAACAAAATTTTGAACAGTAAGCATCTGCTCATTTTTTTAATTTAAGAACCTCTAGTGCATCTAAAAAGATTCTACTAACCTTTAGCTTGAATTCAAGGACTGCACTGTAGCCAGTTTTCTCACATGTGATGCTAACAGTTCCCCCAAGTTCCAAAGTCATTGTGCCGTATAGAATCCCTATAAGATCAGTTTATTTTGTTGGAAAGTGTTCTTATGTTAAGTATTTCCTTTTTCTACAAATAAATGACTATGATATACCAAACTCCCAAACCATCAATTACTATGGAAGAAGACATAATTAATTGCAAGTAAAATTACTATAGAAAAGTTTGCCAACATAGCACCAACACATCCCTTCTCTTTGAAAATACCTGAAATGGTAGTAAAATCAGGACATTCTACTAAAGAAATAAGGATGAAATAAGACATTCACAAAAAGGGCCATGTTATGATAATTTCAAATAATGAAATTTTTCCATGTACATTAGTAAAACCTTCAAATAATAGAAGTCATACTTAAAGCAGGAAATTCCTTTTCTGCAATAAAATTAAATATTGACTAAAACAGAGGTCCCCAACACAAGGCCCGGGGGCTGGATGCGGCCTGCGAAGTGGTTTCATGTGGCCCGCAAAGCCATCCTGGAAACAGTAAGGGAAAGGCCCCCACTGCCTTGGCCCTGGCCGGCCGGGAGGGCGCCAATGTACAATTTTGTGGTGGTCATCTAGGCTGAAACGCATTCAATCTTACCTCCACAAGGCCGTCTGGAAACAGTGAGGAACCAGCCCCTGCCGTGTTGGCCTCACCCCCTGGGTGCATGCTGGGGAGGTTTCACCCTTTGTGAAACCATCACCTGGAATTGGCCAGCAAATGACCCTGGCCTACTTCACATATCCGGCCTGATGGGCTCCAGGGGAGGGGTTTTGGCAGGCAGCGGGGCACTCTCCTCACAACGCCGAGAGGTGGTGCGAATCTGATGAGAAGTGCAATGCTGCCCAGCTCCCAGCCTGCCCAGTTTCAGCACATAGCAAGGTGCAAAGCTGGTGAGCTTCGCACCTCCCGGCTCAACCTCTCGGTACTGTGAGAAGAGCACCCTGCTGCCTGCTGAGACCGGGCAGGCTGGGGGCTGGGCGGCGGCACACTTCTTCTCTGTACTTAGGAAGGAAGGAAGGAGAGTGAGGGTCTGAGGGAAGTCCTGCCTTAGTCCTGCCCTGCTGCCCATTCACCATCCCCTTGCCCCCTCCTCCTGGCCTATCCTGGGGGTCTCCCATCCTATTGCTAAGGAAGTTTTGGATACAAAGCCGGGTCTCCTCCCATGGAGAGGGAATGGGCCTCCCTCTGACTTTGCCCTCGTACCCATCATGAGCAACCTGGCTAAAGAGAGCAAGCACAGCAGCAGCAGCCTTGAGGAGGAGGTAAGTGCAGCTGGGCATCCCCTTGGGGAACTGGGGCTGGGCTTGGTGCCACAGGTGCTTGAAGGCCAGGCTGGGCATTTGACCTCTGCTGTCCAGGGCTCCTGGCAGCCCGCAACACCATCAGCCACCCCTTACATGGCCTGAGAGGAACAGTGAGGTTCCTCCAGTGAACCATGCCTTGGCACTTGCCCTGGTCCCACCCCCTTCTGCCAGAGCCCCTCAGATCTGTCCCACTCCTGCCCGGCCCCCACAGGTACCCCTTGATGCAAATGATATAGAGCTGGCCATGCCCACCCAGTAGGCCACACACACCCTGGCCACACACCCCCGCCCACTGAGGGCAATCTCAATGCTGATGCGGCCCTCAGTGAAATTGAGTTTGACACCCCTGCACTCTAGGGGATCTCCAGAAATGATGCCTCAAGAAAAAATAAATCCCTTTCAGAAACAAATATACTCTATGCTAATTAGAACTAATGCTAATTCACCAAACAATTATCACACACAAGGATGACACAAAAAGAAACCATAATGAGACTAAGAATAATTTAGATAATATAAATGAGCAAATCTCCAAATTAAATCTACAACTAGAAAATTCCCAGACAATGACTACAAGGTATGAACAAATAAATGAGAAATCAGAAGATGAAGCAGAGGAAATGCACCTAGAGTTGGAAGAGATAAAAGAAGAAAAATATAAACTACCATATACATATACAATACTGCAAGACTTAGCCATAACAACAAAAATTGAAAAGATGCATTACCCCTTAGGTCTACAAAATATACCTGATGATAAGGAAGAAGATTTTAAAAAATGGAATATAGAGCTGTCAGGGGAAATGTCACAACTTGGGAGACAAAAAGTGAAAAGAGTAATTGAGGGAGAAAGAAAGTGAGAATTGCTTAAGGAATATAAATGGGCTGAATCCCCCCCCCCCAAATACCCTACCTAAATTGTCTTCCTCATGCCAAGCAACTTTTACAAAAATAAAAGAAAATTCCTGGGCGATTTAATTGCCTTGGCTTGGAAAGCTACTTGGCAAAGAAAAAAAAGCAAGAGATTTAAAAAACAGAAGATTTGACCTATTAGAGGGGGCATTACATGTTTAAATATTTGTTTGAATATGATTAAAAGAGCAGATGATCCTTAAGATATAATTAGACTTTTATAGTGAAAGATATGATTTAGAATTAAAATAGCATCTTTTCTTTTTTTTGATATGGGAAATATGGCTTGTATGAATAAATATTTTAGCTATATAAATGTAACTAATATTGAGAAAATCATAACTGACAAAGATATTTTGAATATTGATGGGAAATCAAACCTTAACAAGAGCATGAAAAACAGTATATTGATTTATGAATTTATATTATTGTTATTTGTATAATATTAGTAAAATATGATGTTTATATATAACTTTGTATACATTAATAGTAACAAGAATTGTAACTGTGTAATGAGGGGAAAATGGAAAAAATATGGATAAGAAAGAAGGATCAGGGAAAAAATACTGGCTTGTGCAGTATTTTACAGATTTATATTGAAGAAGTTAATGTTAAAAATGTGAACCCAGACAACACGTTGTTCACTAAGCACTAAAGCAGTGGTTCTCAACCTATGGGTCGGGACCCCATTTGGGGTCGAATGACCATTTTACGGGGGTCGCCAAACAAGGCTGTCCACCATTTTTCCCCCTTTTCTTTGGCCACGCCCCTGGCACCCGGTGATGTATAAGTGGTTGGGGGTCACCACAACATGGGGAACTGTATTATGGGGTCGCGGCATTAGAAAGGTTGAGAACCACTGCACTAAAGACTGTAATTTTAAAAAATCAATAAAACATTAAAAAAAAGAAAAGAAAGGTAAAAGTATTTTCCAAATCATATAGTTTAAACAAACTCTAATCTGTCTGAGGGGAATAACCTTTACTGGAATACAATGCAAAAACAATTCAGTCAGCTTGTTGGATGTCATTGAGGAGAGAGGTTATGGGAAATAAGTTTAACTTTTAGAGCTGTATGAAGTATATGTAGAAATAAAAGATGTGTTCATTTGCCTCTCAAAAATATTTTCTAAGCCACACAAATTGTATTTATTATTTAGTAAATTCTAGCATATGTGACTCTTTGGAATCTTTCTGACACAGGAGTGGAACCATAGCAATGTTCTCAACGTCCGCAGGCCGGATGCATCATACTGAAACCACGCCCACCCCATTGCTGGCAATGGGGGAAAAGTCGCGATACATCGCATTTCACGTGACATCGCGAGTTTGACATGCCTGGTCTAGAAGAACGCCTTGGTGAATGGTATAACAAAGACCATCTGACTTAGTCTCAACCCTTCCCTAAAGCTAGTTTGAAATGGCTTTAGCTAATAATTATATTATAGGGCTACATGAAGCTGAAAAGCCATAATCCTTTTGAATATTTTGTCCAACTATGGTAGGATAGAATCTGCCCAATAACTTTTGTAGCTTTTTGTCAGAATTATGAAAACAGTGTTGTGGTATTGCAGTGCAAACTCCATTTCTTTTGGGCATGCATGGAACATTGTAACACATATAGAAAATAGCTTGAACTTATGTGATGATGGTGAACATGATGTTCATCATCTTCTTTGCCCCCTTCGTGGATGCTCCCGGGCCTCCAATTGTGTAAGGCTCAAGGAAGGACTCTTTTAGTAGGAGTCTTTAAAATCCCTCTTTAAAGATAAATAAACGTTGGCTCTGTGAAAAAGGCAATTAATAATATTTACCAAGGTTGTTCCCTTAATCTCCTTCAGGGGTCAAAAGGACAGCTGGTAAATCACATTCACCCAAGCATTCTATCCATATCCTCAGGAGTTATCAACTCAAACCAATCATTTCTAATCACATATGAGGACACTCAATTTCTATCTGACTCTATAGTTATCCAAGTCACCTCAAACCCTACAGATTTTACCAGCAAAGAACTAGTTGAAAGCACCACAGGGGTTTAATATTTTTCCTCTAATTCTGACGGAGGGACAGCTCTAATAACTCAGCTAAATGAATAATTGCAAATGCAGTCAGTGAGAAAACAATGGCTTTTTCTGTGTATGTACTGACCCAATGTGGCTCTATTTTCTACCTTATCAGCGTGAAAACAAGTCGTCTGCAAGGGCACGCTAGCAATTTTTCTGCCTCTATAGCCCATACAGCATATAGGAATAAATTAGGGTTGTGACAATCATCTGTAGAATAAACACTCCTAAGGAACTCTTCAGAAATCCATAATATTTAGTAATGTTTAGCTTACAAATCACTGCCCAAATGGACAACAAATAAGTTCTTCTTTTGAGTGAACTGGTCCTCTACTTCTAGGGGCTAAGGGGTGATTATAAATCTGACCTTAACTAAATAGAGGTCAGTCCATATAATGGAGTTGGAATTCTCCCATTAAACACTATTCTGCCCAAAACAAAAGACCAAATCAAATGTGTGACCAACAACGTACGCTGACTCTGAAATCAATTTGGATAGCCCAGATTTGCCATGGTCAGAGAGCCTGCAAGACACTGAAGTACTCAGTAGACAAGCAGAATCCATCCATTACTCCTAACTCAAGATTATATACCCTCAATATAGGCCAGATCTGTATTCAGAATTCAGGCAAATGCAATGTAGTCATCTCTCTCCCTCTAGTCCAGGGGTGTGCAACTCAATTTCATTGCGGTTGCCCTCGGGGGGCCGGGTGGGTGTGGCCTACTGGGTGGATGTGGATGGAGTGGGTGTGGCCTACTGGGTGGGCATGGCAGCTCTACATTTCGCATCAAGGGTACCTATGGAGGCCTGGGCAGGAGTGAGACAGATCTGAGGGTCTCTGGCAGAGGTGGGTGGGACCGGGGCAAGTGCCAAGACATGGTCCACTGGAGGAGCCTCACTGTTCCTCTCAGACCATGTGGGGGGGGCCTGGATGGTGGTGCGGGCTGCCGGAAGCCCTGGACAGCAGAGGTCAAATGCCCAACCTGGCCCTCAAGCACCTGTGGCACCAAGCCCAGCCCCACTTCCCCAAGGTGGTGCCCAGCTGCACTTACCTCCTCTTCAAGGCTGCTACTGCTGTGCTTGGTCTCCTTACCCAGGTTGCTCATGATGAGTATGAGGGCAAAGTCAGAGGAAGGCCCATTCCCTCTCCATCCAAAGCTTTCTTATCAATAGGATGGGAGACCCCCCAGGATAGGACAGGAGGAGGGGGCAAGGGGATGATGAAAAGGCAGCAGGACAGGACTAAGGCAGGACTTCCCTCAGACCCTCCCTCTCCTTCTTTCCTTTTTTCCTTCCTAAGTACAGAGTGGTAGAAAAATATTTGAGATGAGGGAGGGAGAAAAACTGGTAAGAAACACAGCTGGGGAGGTGTCGTGAGGAATGAAGAAATGCACCATTGCCTGGAAGTGGCCAGCACATGGCCCTCACCTACTTCACATATCTGGCTTGGTGGGCTCTGGGGGAGAGGATGCCATGAGCAGTGTGAGAGTCAACGTTACTTGCGCAATGCCGCCCAGCCCTCAGCCTGCCCGGTTTCAGCAGGCAGAGGGGTGCTTTCCTCATAGAGCCAAGAGGCTGAACCGGGCGGTGCAAATCCAAAAAGAAGCGTGATGCCACCTAGTCCCCAGCCTGCCTAGTTTCAGCAGGCAGCGGGGCGCTCTCCTCACAGTGCCGAGAGGTTGAGCCAGGAGGTGCGAAGCTCACCAGCTTTACACCTTGCTGCCTGCTGAAACTGGGCAGGCTGGGGGCTAGGCAGCATTGCACTTCTCATCAGATTCGTGCCACCCGGCTCAGCTCTTGACACTGTGAGGAGAGCGTCCCGCTGCCTGCTGAAACCAGGCAGTCTGGGAGCTGGGCAGCCTCACATTTCTTTTTGGATTTGTGCCGCCTTGCTCAGCCTCTCGGCGCTGTGAGGAGAATGCCTCGCTGCCTGCTGAAACCCCTCTCCCAGAGCCCACCAAGCTGGATATGTAGGCGAGGACCATTTTCTGGCCACTTCTAGGCGATGGTGCATTTCTTCATTCCTCACAAAGGGTGACACCTCCCCAGCATGCACCCAGGGGGTGGGGCCAACGTGGCAGGGGCTGGTTCCTCACTGTTTCCAGATGGCCTTGTGGAGCTAAGACTGAATGCATTTCAGCCTAGATGGCCAGCACAAAATTGTACATTGGCTCCCGGCCGGCCTGGGCAGTGGGAGCCGTTCCCTGTTTCCAGGATGGCTTCGCGGGCCACATGAAACCACTTGGCGGGTCACATCCGGCCCCCAGGCCTTGTGTTTGACATTCCTGCTCTAGTCTATTCCACAACTGAATACAGAGTTGGGAAAAGCTGAGCCCATTTTGAGCGTAGAGTCTAATCCAACCAGGTCTATTATACAATCCAGGTCAGCTCTCACATGCATGATTGCAGTGTATGATTTCAACTTTATTATTTGATGATCTGGCACTGAAAACAAAAGTTATTTCTTCTGCTTGTTATACTAAACCACTTGTGCAAGAACACTTTGTCTTTTTTAAGTCATTGATGTTTAACAAGTAGGAACTTGGTCCCAAGTATGCCAGATGCCTGATTGGTAAGCCAAACTGGTATTTAAAAACACTTAATAAAATTAAATACCTTTACAGTGTGCATATGGCATAGTCATTACATAGTCTTCTCCTCTGTTTAGGAACATCAGTCGGCCTTCACCATCCAGAATGGCAGATAATGAATTTCCTGAAATACAGAAGTGAAAGACTCAAAAAATTACATCCTAGAAAATGAAAAGACTTGCCAGACTAAAGAACTGTCATCTCACAAATTATGTACTCAAGACTAAGATTAATTAAAAACAAATACCACCTATTTTAGTAGTGAAAAAATATCAACTGCATTCATCAAAAATCCTTCACAAAGAACTTATTTTTGTATTTCTTAAACGTAATGAAAGCTTTTAAGCACTTACCATAAAACTTGGATTTGGCCAAAATATTAGCACTAAGGCAAAACCCATCTTTTCGATTGCTTACATAGAAGGCAGATATTGGAGGATGATGAGACACCTGTTAAAAGCAATAGTGTAAGTGACCTGCTGTGAATATTAGCAGAAATTAGCAAAAGATGTAAATTCTATTGTAATTCAACAAATACTCATTGAGGTCAACGAAACACATGTCCCCAAAATATTGATGAAAGTTACTTTGTTTAAAACATTTTCCTTGACTGCAGGTAGTTAGTTGGGATTCTCACATACCTAATTGTGCTCTCCATTTCAGGCATACTTAACTGTTTGCTACCATCTTCAATTAAAACACCAACTAATATCTGTATTTATTCATGCATTTCAGTAAACAAGTCCTTTTTCTCAGTTTAAACTGAATGTTCAACATAGTTTACAATTTAAAACAAAGCACAAACACAGAAGTAAATACAAATCTTTAAAATACTGTGCTGGCTAAACAGAAGTATTTACAGATTTTCTGAAGGCAAACAAACTGATGTCTAAAAGCAGTTTTCAAATTAGTTCTTGTATTACAGCACATGAAGGCAGAATCTGTCTTAAATATGCTGAGTAAGTATTAACTGTGCACGTAAGTCCTGATATATATCTAAGATGATAATAGTTTCCTGCTCTTCCCCTGTGAGCTTGTTATTTTGGGGTATCTTTGTTTCTTGTACACAATATTTATACTATTCCCATGCTGGTTCTCCGTTTGATTGGTTCCTTTTGCTTATTTATGATCCTGTACAAATCTGATCCTGCATTTGGAAAAGGTGCTACTACGCCTGTCTGATTTTTACCACCCAGATTTGCTCCCCTCATGTAATATCCAAAAACCTGATGTTTATTCAAGAAGATCTTGGATAATTTTTCTATTATTTTAGTTTTGACTCTTTGCGAGCTAAATGCAAAATCACATCAGAAAGACCCATAAAATATTTTGTCAAAACCAAAGAATATGCTCATGTTTGTGTAAATATTAACTGACTGAATATATTGTTCAACTAATTTGAAATGTTACATGCAATATTATGTTTCGGTGATCCTCATGTGTCTTCATAACTCGCACTTGCCAAGCTATCAAGAGGCTAATTTGGATGTGGGCAGAATGCATTAAAAATAACAGGATCAACTTTTGAGCTATCTTTGCATGTTTTCAAATGGCATTGTTAGCAGATGATATGGGAAAAACCCCAAATGAATTCAGAGAGTGTTAAATCTATTCCAGTAGCCATCCATGCATTTACACTTATGCCAGATAACATTACAAAATCTTTTCTAGATTAGCTGAGATGGCTGCAACTCATTTTCAATTATATAAACATCAGCACACCAAAATCTGCTCATCTCCATTACCATTTGTCTCTATGTGATTATAGTAAAACAACCTGTTGTGACAAAGACAGGAGGGGATGTGAGGTCACACTGGTAACTGCTGAAATAATCACAGTGATTGGCAGGCAACTTTCTGTTATCCTGTGGTCTTGGTGTAAAACATCGATAGCAGAATAATGAGCTTATGTGTATAAAGCAGTACTATTCTTTGAAATAAGTATCTTCTCTTCAATACATATCCAGCTAGTAATGTTATATACAAGAATATTCTGAACAGACACAAGTAAAATATGAAAATAACTGAGAGGCAACAGGATGACCACAATGCTGTTCAAATTACTGAAATGATTGTGTTCCAGATGCAAAAAGAGCTAGTTTATGCATAACATCCAAATCATGCAACATAGGTTCCAAAATAAAACCCTTCCATATCCACACTAACAAACAGGCACTGGCCAATCAACCAGATATTGTTGTAGCAGACAAAACCAAAAGGCAGTGGAGATGACAGATGCAGCAGTGCCAAATGACAGCAATATCAGGAAGGAGTATGAGAAACTGGAGAAGTATCAAGGCCTAAAGGAAGAACTGGAGAGCATGTGGAAAGTAAAGGCCAAAGTGGTCCCAGTGGTGGTAGAGCATTGTCATTCCTAAGCTAAGTTGGAATGACTCCAACAGATCCCAGAATGACAACAGAACTCTTTGTCCAGAAAAATGCAGTGCTGGGACAGCTAAAATCCTGAGCAGAACCCTCAAATTACCATGCCTCTGGTAGAGGACCTGAGACATAGACCACCCATAAGGGTGGGAATGGATTTTTTAAAAATCTGGTATATATACTTATGGTACACTCATTATACACGTATTTGAAGTTACAATGGCACTGAAAAAAAAATGAGTTACAACTGATCCTCGTACTTACAACCTTTGTATCATCGCCATGGTCAAAATTCAAGCACTTGGCAAGCAGCATGTATTTACAACAGATGCACCATCCTAGCGTCATGCCATTACCATTTGCAATCTAGCTGGCTTTTGACAAGTAAAGTCAACGGGGAAACCAGATTTGCTTAATGATTGCATGATTTATTTAACAACTGCAGTAATTTACTTAACTGCCATGGAAAAAAGGTCATAAAATTGCACATGACTCACTTAACAACTGCCTTGCTTAGCAATGGAATTTCTGGTCCTAATTGTGCTTGTAAGTTGAGGATCACCTGTAATTGGAATCAAAGTGAATTCCTTGCCTTTTTTATAATTCCGGTAACATGAAAATGCAGTATACCTAATGGTTACTCCATTCTAATTAATAATTTTAGAATAGGGCAGGAATAAAGTTTTTTAAAATCATTATGGTATTGTCTCTGAGTTAATGTAATCAAATGTAAATGTTGAAAAATGCTGTTATAGTTTTTCACACAAATTCCACAGATATGTATTTCACGGATTTTTATTACATTTTCACATTACCTGTTCAGCAATATAAAAAGTTTTGCTATTTGTTTTTGGATGAATCCACAAACAACGAAAAGTCTCACCAAGTATAGGATTGTAAGGTTTTTTAAGTCCCTGAAAGATAGACAATATTTGTAAATACATAGCAAATACATTGCAATTCCAAAAAAGTTTAATAAGCATAACACGTTTTAATAAGCAAAAACTTTCTGAAGACTCTGTAACGAAATGCTTACGATTATTGTATTTACTTAATGGGAAACTGCCTCCCTCCCATTAATTTTAAACGGAATGGGAGCATTTTACTCTGCAAATATAAATAGAAGAAAAGCTGCTGAAAATTAAGAACTAGATAAAAAAATGCCAAAGTATTACTTTTGGTTTTTTGTAGAATCCTGACAAGTACCACTTCACAACTTTTTTCATTCGATTGTAAGCATTCTCTTCAAGGGCAGCTCTAGAAAAAGATTATACAGACTTATAATCAAAGTAAATTAAATTTTATCCATATCAATGTAACAAACCATATAAGAGTTTCATATTCAAACAGAGTGATAAGAAATGTATACATCATATAACATAAAATAACAGAGTTGGAAGGGACCTTGGAGATCTTCTAGTCAACCCTCTGCTCAAAGAGGAGTCTCTATACTATTTCAAATAAATGGTTGTCCAGTCTCTTTTTGAAAGCCTACAGTGATGGAACACCTACAACTTCTGAAGGCAAGCTATTCCATTGGTTGATTGCTCTCACCATTAGGAAATTTCTCCTTAGTTCTAGGTTGCTTCTTTCCTTGCTTAGTTTCCATTCATTGTTTCTCATCTTGTCTTTTAATGCTTTGGACGTTTGACCCCTTGTGTTTGTAGGAGCCCCTCAAATATTGGAACACTGCTATCATGTCTCCCTTAGTCCTTATTTTTGTTAGACTAGACATACCCAATTCCTGTAACCATTCTTTGTATGTTTTAGCCTCCAGCCCCCTAAACCATTCTTGTTTAACCCTAATCATCAACATTTAAAGTGACCAACTTAGACAACAGATTTTCTGAGGCTTCATTGGCAACTGTGGTTGGCATTTTCAGAGGCAAGGTGACCTGCTATGCAGACTACAAGCAACTGAGTGGTCTCATGTCTCCTGTCTAGACCTTGGTTGCCAAACCACCAAACTCAGCCAGTTTACATCTGCGAAATATCCCAAGATCAGGAAAAGTGACATCCTTTAATAATTGTAAAGGCTAGGAAGACTGCTCCACTGTTTCTCCCCTTGTGGATATGAACCAATAGCAATTATGAAATCTATGCAAGTAGAAAATTATTTGAGAAATGAAGGAAATAGTATTCTTAATTCCTCTAAAAAAAAGTTAACTATTGGGAGAGAAGTTTCAAGAATTACTGCAATCTATCAAAGACTGTTTAAAGTATGGTTACACGTTTGGGAATCCAAACAATGTGAGAAGCCAAAATAAAAAACCTTGACTAGTAAAATGTATAAATCAAATGGATACTGAAATAACTGTTTCTAACTGATGCAGCTGTGACTACTTTAGAGAAAACATTTGAATAAGGGCGCATTTTTTTTACATAAATTATTCTTTTATCTTGATTTTCACAATTCAAATCTGCACTATATATTTATTTTACTTAACCTTTATTAAATTTGTTTGCCAATGTCAGCCCTTCAGGGTAGATCTGGGAAACAGACTCCACTGACAGATTAGAACTATACTTCTTGAAATGGGCTATAATAATAGAGATGTGCAAGCTCAATTATGCTTTACCTCCCTTTCACTTCATTTCAGTTAATCGTGGATGAGCCTACCTCAGTCCCTTTCAAATACTTGTTAAGGAATAGACTTAAGGAATGTTTCAGTCCTCCTTGCTTATACAATGGTTCTTGCCTATATTCAGGGTGATTTCTCCAATTCTCTATAGCCAATGCTGTCAGTTTGATTCAGAGTTTTATTTCTGCAATCATACTCTTTGTTTTATTTTGCAATTTGAGATAGTTTAAAAATAGAATCTCAAGGAAATGACATCAAGAGTTGATTGAACTACATCAGAATCCATTTCATAAAAAGTGTGAAGATTGTGTTCCCATAGAGAAGCTCAAAGATGAGTAAGCAGTTCCTTATAAGAACATTTGATAATGAATGCTTTAAGAGGCAACTTTTTGCTTGTCACTTTTTTCAGATTCAGGAACTAATGTGTCCATTGGGCAGGAACCCCTATATTCATACTAAAATGTGTTTAAAAACAAATGGTGTGCTGTACTGAAAATATACTGTATAGTAAAATAAAAGGAAAAAGTAGCTAATAAAATAAAATTGGGTAAGAGAACATCAACTAATTTAAAAGTTATACAACACTATATTAAAGAATCTAAACTGCTAACATAGAAGCAAAAAAATTGTATTTCATCCTGAAACACGAAGGGGACATGTATTTTTCTCTACGAAGGGAAAAGATAAGAGCATCATTTGTGATGTTACTTTTCACAGAATCAACCCTATGTGTATATCGGAGAAGAGAGTTTGGTCTTCACTTAGAAAAACAAGTCAAAGTAGATGGATTGCCGATCAGTCTATTCGAAAATCAGAAGCAACATTTTCTTTGAAAAATCAGACATATCAATGAGATAGAAAAATAGTTGTGTAGGAATGATTACCCCCACCCTTAGTCTCTTATGGAAATTATCAAATTCTTGCAAAATCCTAAGGTTCCAAGGAGTATAGTTTTAAACATCCTGCTATACACTTCGCCTAACTGTGCTGGTATAACTCTAGATATTTCCATGTTTTTCTATTAATTGTACAATTCCTAACTTATTTTTACCTGCATAGCTAAAAGTGTTCCATGTACATAAGCTCTTATGTGCTTCCCTTTTTCATTTTTAAACAGTTTACTTTTCCCAAGCAATAGGTTGCCAGGAAAGGATATGCAGTGTACACCAGAGTATATGAATTCATCATTTGCAGTCAACTATTGAAATTAGGCTAGGAAGCATGTGGCTCTAAGTCCCATTTATGGTGTGAGGCATTATTTTCTCTAAAAACCCAAAACTAAAAGAAATTCAGATCTGCCACTATTAAATCACTTAACTTCTCTTGAAAATGCTTTTGAAATAGTAATGACATGATGCATCAAGATAGTTCTTACTGCAGATGAATACAAACAACTCACTCAGATAAGAAGTCTGCGTGATAGTAGTAATCAGAGAGTTTATCCAAGAAAGAACGTGTTTCCAATATAAATGTAGGTAGTACCACTTTGGAGAGATCCATTCCAGGGCGTACTTGTTTCAACAACGTCCAGATCAAACTCTTATTTTCTTCTGAAACTATTTCTGTTTGAGAAGCTTCTCCTGCCTTCAGCAAAGTGCAAATAGAATGAAGTAAGAGCAGATATTAAAATATATTAATGCATTTAGATAAATTGCAGATTTTTTTTTAGTTTGGTATATAGCAGCCCAAACATTTGCCCATGCCACTCTGATATAGGATTTAAAGATTCTTCATGGCTGCAAAGCCATATATGTCCATCTGTTTGTCTTACCCACCCATTTTCTAAACATGGGACAATATGTAAATCCATGTGACTTTAATATTGAAGAAACAAACAGTGTCTCCATACAGCACTCTGGCCCTATAGTTGATTGTGGCTCAATATGTAGCATGTGAAACAATGCATATTAAGAAAAAATGGGATGAAAATGTAACAGCCATATAATAACATTTATTATTTACTTATTTCCTGCTTTTATTATTTTTACATATAACTCAAGGTGGTGAACATATTCAACACACCTTCCTCTTCTTATTTTCTTCACAACATCACCCTGTAAAGTGGGTTGGGCTGAGTGTGTGTAGTTGGTCCAAAGTCATCCAGCTGGCTTTCATGGCTAAGGTAGGACTTGAATTCACGGTCTCTCGCTTCCTAGTCTAATCATAGACCAGTGGTCCCCAACCTTTTCGGCTCTGCAAACTGGCAATGGCAGCAGCGGGGGAAGGGGATGGTTTTCCATGCACGTGCACCACTTGTGCACATGCAGCTTCGCATACATGCATACTCGCCCGCCATTTGGGTAGCCCAGTTCCTACACCAGGCAGTGGACTGGCACTGGATCACAGACTGGAGGATTGGAGATTCCTGCACTAAACCAAATATTACAACTTCCAGGCCAATCTTGAATTTAAGAAATAGAGGGTTTTTCATTTTGCTTTATTACTGCCTCAGGAAATATTTATGATTTTATTTCAGTTGCGTCCTTAGATTGGTCTCTATCAATTCTATATTATTCATATATCAATATATCTATATCTGTCTGTCTATCTATCTATCCATACACACACACACACAGAGAGATAAACGTTAAAGAACTAAGAATTATTGAACTTAAGCTAAAATGAGTAGTAAAAATCATGACTAATATAATATAAATCAATTAACAGATTAACCTGTAGTAAGCTAGGTATCTCGTAACATTGAAATAGAAATTCTATATAAATAAATCCAAATTTTGGATGTGACATCAATCCAGGGTAACATAACAATGATAAAACATCTTATACTATCTCTTTATAGTCATATTAATTTAATTCTTTCAGTTTTACCAGAAGTTCTAAAATGGACATACCACGTAATAGTGGATAAAAAAATGAAAGGAAGACAAACCATTTTACAATTCAAATATTGTGAAGTAAAAATATAACTCGTTACCTCCCCCAGTTCTTCACTGCCTTCTTCTATGTAAATTGTTTCCTTTACATGATCAGGTTCAGGATCAATATATGAATCATCCTGTCTCTCTGATGTATCTGTGTCACTTTCTACCAAACCATCATTATCTGACTCATCACGATCATGGTCGTTTTCTCTATCTGATTTATCAGAGTACATATCTGAATCTTTAAAATGTCTTTCAATTTCACTGTCATTTAACCTATTAAAAAGAAACATGTTAATCTTTTATATAGTAAGGAACAGTACATTTAATTTGTTACTTTATTGAATTTTTGTTTACTGAAACTCATATCAAATGTCAAACCAAATGTCAATAAAATTAAATTTAAGCACTTTTCATTCAAATTAATTTTATTGGGAAAATTTAAACACAATGAAATCACTAGGACTTACAATTCAATTTAATTATTCAATTTAATTAGAAGAATCCTTGAACTTAATTCATATTATTTTACATTCTTGTTTGTATCTTTATCCCTATTTTGAACAGCATCTTATAGCACTCAATTAAGTTGAATATATATACTAAAGAATGCAAGAACTACTGCCTAAATGCAATCAACTATGAATTTCTTTCTTAGATTTTCACCATACCCTATTTCACAGAGTGAATCTTTCCAAGATTTAGGAAAACAAGCTATATTCCCAGTCTCAGATGTTAAAACACACGTACATTTTATATGCACTATATACAAGTAATTTACCTAGGGATGCCCTTAGTTTAATGATTAGTAAACAACATTTCTTCCTACATACATCAATATTGGTGAACATTCAAGTATTTATAGAGATAACAGAGTATTTAAAGAAACCACTGTGATAATTTCTCTTTGAACTGAATGATACAAGCATAGTGTAGCAGATCAAATGACTAGAAAGTACTTGCATTGTGACACAAAAGTTAACATAACCAATCATCACGGCTATTGTCCAGATTGAAATAAAAAGCTGAGAGTGCATGAATATATAGAGTAGGCCAAGTTTGTTTGCCTTTGTTTGATAACGTATTTGGAAAACAATAGTGAATTATTATTTATATACCCTGAGTCATAATTATTCACCTTAGTTTCTGAAGTATTATCATAGTTTTAATCATTTTCATTCCAAGTTTACCAAAATAAAAAAAAAATGAAAAAGAAAAGAAACAAGAAAAAATAACTTTAAGCTTAAGCTAAAAAAAAATCTGGAATAAATTTGAAGCCTCTTTACCATACATCAGTGCAGTGATGCTATAAGACATATTCCTAGAATCATTTTACAGGGAACAATTAAACTATTTTACAATGCCTCCAATTCTAACCATCGTTCTACCATTGAAAGACACCATAGCTGCAGTCTTAGTTTAGATTATTGCTGTGCAACATGTTGAAGGCCAAGGCTATATACTATTCATTCATTCATTCATTTTTATGTCACCTATTTGCAAGATTCTATGCAGGTTATTATAGAACTACAATTAAAACCCTAACTAAAAATCTAGCATTATTTTCCATTTAATTGGGCTCTCCACAAAGACTCTGTAGAACAACACCATTTTAATAAGGGGCAAGCTGCTGCAGCTGCTACTGAGAATGTCATCCTCCAGGCCCGTCTCTTGATTCCTTAACTTAGGGACCTATAGTTCTCCCTTTCAGCTGATTTTTGTCAGACAAATTTCAACTAAAGAAGATGGTCTTGAAGGCAGCAAGGATCCAAACTATATACCATAAATGCCGGCGTACAAGGCGACCCGGCGTATAAGATGACCCCCGTCTTTATAGCCGGGCCGCATTCCTAGAACATCGTCTTATACGCCAGAAACTACCAGTATTTCCGGCGTATAAGACGACTCGGCGTATAAGACGACCCCCGTCTTTGGCGCCGATTTCAGCGCTCGCGGAAGTCGCCTTATACGCCGGCATTTATGGTAGGCTTTATATACTTTGAGATGGAACTGAAAACTTAGTGGTCATCAACACAATCCCTCAGCATAGTTATTATTCTGCTAAACTGGTTATTAGTCAGCATTCAGGGAGCCATATTCCATTTCAGCTGCAGCTTCTAAATTATTTTCAAAGAAAGCCCCTTGAAGATTCAATTGCAGTAGTCTGTTGAGTTACTGTCTACAAAGCTTTCTTGTCCAAGAGATCACAATGGCAGGCCAGTTTTATGGCCACAGTTAGTACCTGCTATTATAGTAAGAGCCTAGAGCAATAATGGCAAACCTTTTAGAGACTGAGTGCCCAAACTGCAACCCAAAACCCACTTATGTATTGTTGGGTGCTGGGTGGGCATAGCCCATTGGGTGGGCATGGCCCATTGGCTGGGGGTAGCTGCGGTGGTAATGGCAGACTAGGTGGGACTAAAAAGTTCAATCAATCAATTCCAACTTTGCAAGATCTTTTTTTTTTCCTGCAAGAAGTTGAAATTGATTGATTGATTGAACCTTTTTTTTTTGCACACGGTGGCGGAGGCCTAAAGCAAAAAGGTTTTATAAAACCCAGCTGAAGGCCTAGGACTGGGGCGACTGCGTGCATGCCCACAGAGAGGACTCTGCATGCCACCTGTGGCACGCGTGCCATAGGTTTGCCATCACAGGCCTAGAGCCCAACAGAATTTTCTGATTTATCACTAGTCTTTTAGGTAATCTATTAAGATCACAGATGGAACATTAATGGTCCTAAGTGCCATTTTACCAAAAGCAATTCTGTTTTGTTGGGATTCAGTCTATTTGTTCTACCCCATCCAAGACTCTAGAAAACACACACAGACTGAAGAGAACGGGCTTTGTCTTACCTGAACGCCTTTTCTCAACATGATAATGGATAATCCACGGATTGGGTTTCCTGAAGTCCCTACTACCCAATAGACTAAGTCTGAGAGTTAGCCATGCCTCCCGCTGGGCCATGCTGTCCCAGTTCCGACGAAGGCAAAGCAGCAGACAAAGTCCGACGCGTTGGTTCCCCTACCTGACACAGGACCTGACAGGCATCAAAGGGGTGGGAGTGGATTATCCATCACCATGGTGAGAAAAGGCGTTCAAGTTAAGACAACGCCCTTTCTCCAGCATGAGGATGGATAATCCACAGATTGGGACATACCAAAGCCTACACTGTCCCTATGGAGGGGAAACAGTCAGGGCATGTGTCCCTCCGGACGGCACCACACGTTTTAGCACCCTCTGGCCAAAAGAGGCATCAGCGGATGCAAACTGATCGATCTTGTAATGTCTAATAAATGGGGAGGGAGACAACCATGTCGCCGCCCTACAAATCTCGCCAATGGGCGCTTGAGTCGCCCAAGCTGCTGATGTTGCCGCACTGCGGGTGGAATGAGCAGTGATACAGCAAGGAATGGACAAGGACTGGGATTGGTAAGCATTGGCTATACAGGCCTTGATCAACCTACCAAGGTGGTCGAAGAGACCTTCTGCCCCATGGAAGAGGGCTGGAAGGAAATGAAAAGCGTCTCTGATTTGCGGAAGGCAGACGTCAGCTCAAAGTATCGTCTCAATGCTCTGCGCACATCCAAGGTGTGCCACTGGCGCTCCAGGTCGTGAGTTGGACGGGGACAAAAACTCGGTAGTATGAGTTCTTGTGATCGATGGAACAAGGATTTACCTTAGGAATGAATGTTGGGTCCGTTCTAAGGACTACACAATCGTCAAGAAAAACGACAGGTCCTCCCTGACAGAGAGTGCTGCCAGCTCGGAAATGCATCTGGCTGATGTTACTGCCACTAAAAAGGCCACTTTCATTGACAAAAAACTCAATTCACAAGACTTAAGTGGCTCAAATGGTGGCTTGGTAAGAGCCTGTAAAACACATGAAAGATCCCACGAGGGGTATTGATGGACCGTGGATGTCTTTGTATTGGTCGCCTCCTTAATGAAGGAGCAAATCATCGGGTGATGTGCTAGGGAGGAAGAATCGTCGCATGTCAGTACTTGTCTCTTGATGGTATTCGGCGAAAGACCTTTGTCAAGCCCCTCCAGCAAATATTCCAAAATGTTTGGGACAGTGACAGATGACATGCCAATTTTATTCCTGGTACACCAGGTGGAAAACTTCCTCCAAGTAGAATCATAAATTTTGTTGATAGACTGGCGCCTGGAGGCCTGAATCATGTTGATCACCCTTGGTGGGTAAGACTGCTGAGTCAGGCGTTGCCGCCCAAGTGCCAGGAAGCTAGCTGGAGCCATTGCAGGTCCGGGTGTTGAAGAGTCCCCTGGCTGAGCACAATGCGATCCGGAGTTATCCTCCACGATGACGAGATGGAAAGGCTCACAAGGTCGGCAAACCACGGACGCCCCGGCCAGTGTGGACAATGAGGATGACCTCTGCCCTCTCCTGCAATATTTTGCATATGACCGCCGGCATTAGTGGAAGAGGGGGAAAGGCGTATAGTAGACCTCTGGGCCAAGGACTGCGAAGTGCGTCCACTCCTTCCGCCCCTGGAGACAGGAAACGGGAGAAGAACCGCGGGAGTTGTGAATTCTCCAGAGACGCGAACAGGTCCAGAGCCGGGCAGCCAAACCTCTCCGCTATCTCTGCGAATAGAGCTGGAAGCAGACACCACTCCGAGTGGTCTATCATCACTCTGCTCAAGGTATCCGCCTGTCTCCCCCAAAATGTGAGCTGCTTGATGGAAAAGAGGTTGGTCTCTGCCCAGGAGCATAGTAGCTGGCCTCTGTCATGAGAGACTGGGACCGGGTGCCTCCCTGCCGGTTCACGTGGGCTTTTGCCGCTATGTTGTCCGTGAGGACTAGAATGTGCTGCCCCTTCACCCTGTGTCTGAAGTGTCGTAAAGCTAGATGTATGGCTCTGAGCTCCAGCCAGTTTATGTTGTGTTTCAGGTCTCATGGGGACCACTGTCCTTGAGCCAACTGGGACTGGAGATGAGCTCCCCAACCAAAGAGGCTGGCATTGGTGGTGAGAGTGAGTCGGTCCGATTCTTTGAAATGTGCACCTCCGGCTATTGTCTGGGAAGTCCACCAGCGGAGAGACTTCAAAATTACGGGTGGCACCCTCACTTTCCTGTTGGAAGATGTGAGTTTCCGCCTTTGAAAGGGGAGGAGGAACCACTGCAGAGCTCTGGAGTGCAGTCTGGCCCAAGGCACTATGGAGATGCACAAAATCATTTTCCCTAATAGTTGGGAGACAGTCATCAGGGAAACCACACGGTCGTGTTGAACCTGACGTACCAGTGACCTGAGACTGA